ACATTTTTCCAAAATATGGGTAATCTGCACCATGCCTGCGCCAAAGGACTGGTTTTGGTCGCCTTTCAAAACCGAAACTAAACTGAGAACCGTAATTCAGCATGCGTGAGCTAGGTGGCGCAAGCGGCCGCCTGACACAAAGTACCCTGCATCAATCGTCCATCCGCTCTTGCATGGTATTTGCCGCCGTCTCGCATCTTGCGCCCTCGTCGTCTCGAAAATCTCATCTCGCGTCTTTTTAACATTTTTTCAACGATAGACGCGAGCGTGTGCGGACACTCTGACACTTTTGTGAGATGAAACGCTCGCGCCCCAGGCGGAAATCAGTCCACTTCCAGCTGGATTATGTAACTGGAAATGAGGCAGTCCAGCTGGATTGCAGCTGGACCCAGCTGGACACCGTGGTCGCGCGACGTCGGATGTTGCCGTCCTCACATCGCTGTTGATATGGCGCTTTTTAAACTTGTTCTTCGGCATTCCTGTCCTCGTTTAAATCATACTATACTACAAACATCCCGATTTAGCTCAAAGACTGCTTGTCGAAATATTGATTACCTAGGATACTCTCGGTGGCCTATGTTTTGAGAAGGACCCCGGTACGTGAAGAATCTGCCGCAAACGAAAGTTGGAGAAGAGAAGTGAGCTAAGCGCAAGAAGGCAATGTTCGCACGCTGAACCTGTTTACCGCCCTTGTTTGGCTCGAGTTCTGTCGTTCCACAAAGCGCTCTAAGAAACGATTGACCCTGGCTCGTGATCTCATGCATCGATGCATGCGCTCATGTTCTTTCTTTCTCTGTCTTTAGCTTGTACCACGCCTGCCGGCCTCGCAAGCACGCGCCGCTGGATTGTTTTTTGGTTTTTTTTGTCGAATGCTGGACAGTTACGTATTGCATACTATTTTGGGAACCAGTTGGCGACGGAGCGGAGTGGCATAATTTTGGTTTCGATTGAACAGCTGTTGTCTCCGCTGGCGTGACGAAACACGTGCCACTGCAAGCCTGCTAAAGTTGCCCCCACGTGCATTTGAACATGACTGCACGACAGAGGCATCAGCCGGGACGCTTGCAATCCATTGTTTTACGTTTGCTTACTTTTGACGAAATTCTGGCACGTCGGGAACCAGTAAAACGGTGGCAAGCATTCTTTTCGGAATTGCTCGGCAATGCCTACAACACTGTACACTAGTGGGATGTCTCAGCAGTAAAAACACAAACAGTGAGTTCAACCACAACACAACACAAAGTGCCCTTCGTTTGTCTAGCACTTAAAACAAATATTTTTTATATTTCTAAGAATATCTGCTCCAAAAGCCACTTTTGCTGCTCCAAAACACAGTTTTGGCTGCTCCAAAAGCCAGTTTTGCTGCTCCAAAACATAGTTTTGGCTGCTCCAGAAGCCACTTTTGCTGCTCCAAAACACAGTTTTGGCTGCTCCAAAATCCACTTTTGCTGCTCCAAAACACTGTTTTGGCTTCTCCAAAAGGTGCTCCGAAATGGCTTAGGCCAATCACATCACTGAAAAATTGTCTTTTAGAGTAGGAGAGGCAGAACACGCTTCTCAAATCAAGACGATTTTTTCTTAACAGAACCACGTGCCTTCTGCCACATCGACGCAAGCGAGCTACCTTGCAGGACGCCGATCGCACCCGTGGACTTCGAACAGCGATCCGCCTGCCTTCTCATCAAGTCGGATGGCCAGCGGCTGAACTCTACGCCGACCAAGGCACTCTTCCGACTCTCTGGTGCTGAACAGTATTATAGTATATCTGCGGCTACACCCAGTCTTTTTCTTGTTACCTCTTTGGTGTTGCAGACCTCTGAAATGAACCTACAGTTCTCTGCTGTTACCAGCTCCCGTTTCTGAGTGCGAATAAATATAAGTATCACCTTTGCTTGTTTGTGGATATTATATTAAAGGTTATTTGCTTTTCCATATGTTTCCATGTGTTTCCACACAGCAGCACACAGCAGAAAGAAAACAAATATATACCAATATTTCATAGCCTTCCAATCTTTCCTCATGGGTGTCGGCGGCTTTGCGCAAACGGCGTCGTCGCTGTGTCTCTGTTTTGCATTGTCACATATGGGGGTGACCACCTTTCTGCTAGCGCAAGGGTTCTCAAATTGGGTTCCGGGGAACACGGGTTCCACGAGCTGGTCTCATGGGTTCCGTGAACACCCAAATTGCAACCCCCTCCCCTCACCCTCCTCTCCTCCCTCCCTCCCTCCCTCCCCCCCCCCCCCCCCCCCCCCCCCCCCCTACGCCGCAGGCTGTGCAGCAGGACCATGCAAAGCACCTTCATCTCACTTTGTACTGACATTGCGATTGATATGGTGGGGATATATGGGAAGCGACACAAGCAAAATTGCCTACAATTGTGCATCTGTTGCTTCTCGGTCGGCAAATATGGAGGTCGGGGAGGGTTCCGCGGCAGTCTTTGAGGCTTCCTGGGGTTCCGCGAGACAAAAAAAGTTTGAGAACCCCTGTGCTAGCGAAATGCGGGACACACGGAACCGGTGGGGGGGGGTTGGAGGTGGGGGGAGGAATTTACGAGCACACACAACACGAATCGAAGCTCTGTTAACACATTCAGTGATGGAAGTGCTGCGCCAATTGCGCCAAATTGCGCCAAGGATGCGATCCTGCTACATGTAGCGCCAAATTGCCATTTTACCGAAGAATTGCGCCATGCCTGCGCGGAGATGAGATGTAGCAATAAAAAATAAAAACTGAAGTCGTATCAAGCCTAGTTCACATGCAGCGGTTTTGGCCCTAGAGCGGCGCGATTTCTGCCGTCGCGGCGCTCTAGCCAGCACCAGCAATTCAGCGGCACGAGCGCCGCGACGGCAGAAATCGCGCCGCTCTAGGGCCAAAATCGCTGCATGTGAAACCCGCTTCAGAGCGCGTGGCGGTACCGCGGTATTTTCCGCGTCGCAACTGTTTCGCAAACCGAAATTGAGAGGGCGCATTATCATCATCATCACTGAAAGGAACAACGTTAGCAACATCTGAGACCAAAGCCGCAGGGGCTAAGAGAAGAGCCATCCCACTGAGCAGCGAGTTTGTGGATGATTTCGATGTTAGCCCGCCCTGTTCCCGTGTGCTAGCTACCAGCGAAGTCAAAGCTAGCGCGAGCCCAATGCTCTGTGCATTCCTGACTCGCCCGTGGGCTCGTGCAGTGTAGGCACCGTTACGGGCTCCATGCGCGCGCTTGTAGCTTCGGCTGCGCTCGCACCGAAGCTGAAGCGATGTATAGTTGAGTTGCACCAAACTCTGGATGTAGTGCTGGTAAAGCCTCACCGTCCTTTTCGGAGCACAAAGCACTGCGCGACTCGCGCGACTGCGGTGTCTGCTCCGCGGGTGTCGCTTCTCTGCAGCGCGTTGGTGCATGCCAAGGAGCGCACTCAACGGGTTAACTCGCCGTGATCCGATCGTGACTTCGCCAGCGCATCGAAAATGAATCGGAATTTTATAAGCGAATATCAGATACCGCAATATTGGAAGCTGCTGCCCGAAAGACAACTCTAATCTAAACTAAAACATTCCACACATTCCATTTAGTTTTATCAGCCTGCACCTTAAAAGAAGTGCAGGCTGACAAAACTAAATTTCCTGTACCGTCAGAACTCAGTGTGACATATTTAATTGTATTTTTTTATCTGACGAGCAGATAAACTTTATTTAAAAAAAAAAATTTTTTTTTGTGAGTTTACTTTGTTGAATTTTATATATCCTGTCTTAAAAAGGCGACAGGCGATGTGTTCCAATAATAGAGATGGGTTTTATGTAGCTATGCAGCATTATTTCATTTTCAAGTAATATGCCAACATATGCCGGACCCCGCTCCAAAAGCGCCACTACCTGCTCCAAAACAACATTTTGCCTGCTACAAGGCCTGCTCCATAAGGTCAAATGGCACTTCCATCACTGCACATTTAATATCTTGCGCTGTTTATACACCCGCGAATTGCATTGCGATAACTACTCTAAAATCATTTTCACTCTCGGGGATATATCTTCATGTTATTAAATGTGTCGAAGTTGAAAGTTTAAAAATCAACTGCAGCAGAACCCAGTGCATCAAATGAAATTAAGAGGCAGTAAATCTCTTTCGGGTATTCAGCCTGGTCCTACGCACATTTTTAACATTATATTCTCTTTTTCGACCGCTGTGAGTTGCAGGCTTTTTAAAACAAAAAAAAACATTTAGTTACACTTTTTCATTAACACAACGATATAAAAATAATTAAAGCACTTTATATTTAAAATTTATTTTGGCAAGCAATTTTCTCTCACAATATTTTGCCACCAATTTGAGAGGCACAACGGTGCATGCGCGTCGGTTCTCCTGCAAGAACGACGGTCGCTTCCCGCTATGCTTGGATAGAAAATGGCGTACGATTGCGATTCATACAATTCCCAGCGACCCCCGCGCTTCTCCAAGCCCCGTTGTTGGGCAGCACCATGAGTTGCAGAGGGAATTTTAAGACAGTCTGAAATGCGGGACATTTAGAAGATAGGGAATTTCTCGCGGGACACGAGCCCTCAATGTGGGACAGTCCCGCGATTTGCGGGACGGGTGGTCACCCTAGTCTCATATGTTGTCCCCTGCACGGTCACTCGATCCCCTCCTCTCCTGTGGCGCGTCATTGGGAGCTTGCCAGGAGACACCTTCTCTCTTGTAAGAGGGAAAGTGGACAAACGGAGCAAAAGAGTACAACTGGAACCGCGCCGCCACCTCGCAATGCCAGTCCACTCTATGGCTGTCCAAACAAAAGACAACTGTATGCATCGGGGAAACAATAGACTTAAAATTTGTTTTTACTTTCGCATCCTATCCCAACTGGTAATGTCCCATTCTCAATTTTGTATTCTATTCCAACTGCTAGCGACACATCCGCGCAAGGTTGCGGATTCCTGCGATGCACAGTGGGCCGATAAACCGCATGGGGCACAACTCTCTGCGGTGAAACGAAGTGATGTTGGCGTGCTGTGTGCAGGTACTCGCGCCTGTTCCGTCTGCTGATTGGGGTGCAGCGAGGCCAGACCGCGCTTCAGGATTGCTGGCTGCTTCAGGGCAAGCTGGGACGAAGCAGGGGCGCTGCATGTCCCCTGATGGACCACATGATGCACCTCCGCTCGCACATGGCACACCTGCTGGACTGCCTGCAGTACTATCTGCAGGTGAGTAGCTGAGCTCTACAGTTAGCTGTTCAGGCGTTTCTTTTTGTTTATTCATCTATTGCGCTTAAATTTGGTTTGCTAATATATTTCTCGGTGGCACTTCCATATATGAAACTAGTTTGCATATAGCTGCGCTAGATCCTGACTTATCAATAAATTCAATTTTAATTGGGTCCTCCTTGCGGTTCGTTAGCGTAAAATTCTTCCCAATGTATCAGGAAATTTTTCTGGATTTGCATTCACCGAGACAACCTTTGTGCGGTGATGCTATATTAAGCCTAATTTATTTATATTGTGACCAAGTTGCACAAAATGGGAAGCTATATCTTTCAAGAACTACCGTAAAATGCCGTGCAAGCGCCCACTCAAACTTTGGAGATAATCGCAAAAAAGCGGGGGATGGGTGCTTGTCCGGTCATCAATTTTACATATAAATTATGGGGATTCCTCTGGTCTCCCTTCCCTGACGGCTATGATAACGGCCGCGGGTCGGAACGCTCGGCCTCCTTCGCCGTGAGCTCCGACCTGTTCGTGAGGCGGAGGGCCGCCTGGCTTGGGGGGCCTTCCTCTCACTCTCTCCCGGGCGACCCCTTTCCGTTCCCCCGCTCGGATGCGGATCATTTCTGACAGGCGAGGAGGTTTCGCCTCTTGTTTTCCCGCTTTGGGGAAAGGGACTCGTCCGGGTGACCGCGAAAGAGATAGGACGTATGTCGGCGACTTCTCCGATGTTTCCTCGGTCTTGGCTCTCCGGAACCCCGCATCTGGCCAAGTAAGGACCTTTTCTTACCTCGCCGGCGCAGGGAGCATTTTGGATGGGAGCATTGTTGTTCATTTCAAAAAGGGTTATAATAAATGTTCTTGAACTCTGTCCTTACTCTGGTAAGTATGTGTCTTCTCTTCCGCTATATTCGAGAGAGTAAGACAAGGTAGACGATTATTGGCACCGACAGAGGTAATTAATCGAACCGACCCACGGTAATGTAGCCCTAAACGTTTGTCTATATTGCCGCGGAGATGTGGGGACCGCGGGCTGTTGGACGGCTCCTTTGAGATCGCCGCCGCTGTTGAGACAACCCTTTGGTTCCTCTATCGGTACCTGTGTTGGTAGCAAGATCCCACAAAATGTACTGTGCATGTTTTGTCAGATCTTACAAATTTGGGAATTGGCACTTAGTGTGTAATGGGCAGATGTGCGGTATTCTACGATAGTTGATTAAAAATATATCGCAAAAAGCAACAAGAATAGCATCATTGCACAAGGCATGTCTTGCTGAATGCAAATCTATAAATATGATGCCATCCCAAGAATTTACTTGCTCTGCCATTTTCATTTCATTATTTTTTGTACATATAATCTCCATTGCATGCATAGCCTTTTTCATGCCTTTGTAATGCACATAGCGTTCATCACTTTACAGGTAGCCTTTGCTTTGCACTTCTAAGGTAAAATGGAAGTATCATGGCAGAGACCTCCGTGGATTCAGGGTCAGATTTGACGGGTCAGTTTTGAAAAGAATGCCCTGAAACAAATATATAACGTGGCAAAGTAAATAAGAAAAACAAATGAACAAACAAATCTTTGCAGTAATAATAACAGTAATTTGGACATATCAAAGGTGCTAGGAGGGAAAGGGGACCACTTTCTTGCTCTGCAACTAGCTACAGTGTACTATGCATGAGTGAGGCAATGTTAATAAAATATGCCTCTGTACAGGCAAGTGCCACAAGCTATGAACTCTTCTGGCACTTCGTGGCTTCACCAGATGAAACATCAACACTGCTAAATGTTTCACCACATTAAACATCAGCATCTCTAGATCTTGATGTGTTATGTTGTGGAGGACGCTGATTTTTGACCTAACGTAAAGTGTCTGTGGATGAAACATCTAGGGACTGCCCCTAGTGGTGCAGTGACATGTCCGGTCGTTTCCAGGTGGATGTGATAGAGATCCAGCTCGTGCGGCTGTTGCAGCAAATAGGGCAGACGCGCGACTTCGAGGCCATCCAGCACGCCCACCACAGCTTCCTGGCCTCCCTGCTGTTCAACAGCCTCATTGTGATCAATCCCGTGAGACCGTGGAACAGTCCTTGTTCTCTCTGCAGATCTGCAGTACAAGTTTTGCCTACTCTGCTTTAGTCTGTTGCAACAAAAGATTTGTGGTAGAAGCTCCACCTATAGCGTATGCTTCCTGCACTCGATAACAGTTTCTAAATGCTTAGCATTTTAGAGCCAGCTCTTAAGGCCCATTCACACTCTTGCGACCTCTTAGAACCGAGCGCCTTGGAACCTCTTAATATCTCTTACGAGAGGAAACACTGGCGCCATCTATTGGGTAGCAGTGTAAACTTGGTGGTCCGGAATATTTTCTATTTCTTGTGCGCATTATCCTTCTCTTGACTCGAAAAACTTTCGTCAACGTTATAAATGAGCCTTCCTCGTAGGTATTACGCACATTTTACCTCGGAAATCGCAGAAATGCAGTTCCAGGGTCACAGCATAGATGGCACCAGTGTGCCAGTGTGTTCTCTCATCCTAAGAAAGTATTAGGAGGCTTCAACAGGGTCTTGTCTCTCTCGGTCGCACTCGGTTGCAAGTGTGTGAACAGGCCTTTAGTGTTCTGGGTCATCCCACGCCAAACGATCCAGTCCCAAATTCGATCCTCACGAATTTGGTCTAAAAAATTTGTATGTGTTATTGGTGATGTAAAAGTAGCTTTTCAGAGATATTTTGGCTATAATTTTTTTTTATTTCCTTTCCCTGAAGGGAAAACAAAGTATATCTTAAAAAATAAGACAAATTTGTTATTGTTTCGTAAATTAAACTGTCTATGTTAAAAATATAGCAAAATACTCAGTTTTCAAAAAAATAAAATGCATACTCCACGGTTATTAATAGTATAGAAGCCACACAACAAACAAGCAAAGTTAGAAATAAAAAGTTATTTTTTAAAAGCGAAAAAAGTAATTTTAGAATTTGGTCCTTTGCCAGTTTTGGAAATATATTACAAACTACCCGTCTAATCGCTTCCGTACATGTACGACAAGACCGTCAAAGGGTAAATAATGTGTCCCCCTTTTTTTTTTGTTGCACAGGCTCACGAATGCCTACGTAGGATCTTGGGCTTGTGCCAGTCTCTGTGTCAGCTGTTCCCACGGACCAACTGCCCTTTCACCCAGAGGCAGTTTTCTCAGTTTGAGTCTGTGGCTAAGGTGAGTATGTCTCAACATGGCAGTGTATGTAGACTACCTGAATCTGCTTTGTGACCCTTTTATTTTTAATGCGAAACTCCACTCTAACAGGAGCAAAACTCAGGTTCCATGTTCATGGTATCGTGCGATTTAGGGTGCAAAATCACGGTGTCGCACGACCTCCGTGTCCAATGATCGTAGTGTTTCGCGACACAGTGTCACGCAACCATGTCTCTTGATGCCGGGTGACATGACACCACACGATTAATGAGTGTGCCGATAAAAAAAGGCAATGAAAAGCCACCTTTTCTCATAGTTTGCAATTCTGCCTACGACCGTTCGATTGATTGCTGTATACCGATCGGTGGTGTTCATCACGTGTTCGCAATATTAAAACATTCTTTCAAAAAGATGGGTGGGAGAATCTTGAAGATTCATCCACCCGCCTTTTTTCTCTCGATTATCACCCGCAGAAAGGTGGGTGTCCGTGCAGGCTATTGCGTCGTGCTTTGCGTCATCTTCTTGGGGTTGCGGAAGTCCCTGGTGTTATTGCTCAATGGCTGCTGTAAACGCCTCTATGGTCACAAAACTTATGCAGAGAGTAAGCTCGCGCCGAAGAACTCCGGAATCGTGGGCTCAATCCCCGGCCGGGCCCATTTCGGTCCACATGAGCGTCGGACTGGTGTGCAGTGGCGTATTGCAGACCGCTCAATGCACATTAAGGACCCCTGGCTGGCGGGTACCGCACTAGCTACATTTCTTGTCTACGGCATACTCGCCCTACTCTGTTTCACGCTAAGTCTGACCGCAGTCAATGAGCAGTGCCAAAAGTGCATCGTCACACCGCTCTTTGTCTGCTATTGCCAGTTAAACCACTCGTGCACAGTGAATGCACTGGGATCCGGTGTGCTTTTCTGGGTGCGATTGGTAACGCGCAAAGACAAAGAGCAGCGTGACGACGCACTCGACGCCGCCTCATTGATTCCGTCGGATTGAAACGAAGTACCGTAGACGCCTGTCGGGGTTGACCGATCTCCCGCGGTCCAAACCTATGCACGACGCAAATTCTCCCCTTGCTGCCGTCGCAGGACTTTGAGGTGCAGCAGAAGCTGCTGACGACCATCCTGTCGGGACTTCGGGATCACCTGTCGGACTCGCAGCTCCCTCAGCTGCTGGTGCGGCTGGACCACGGACGCGTCTGCTCGGGCTGCGTCAGCCTGAGGGCACGAGCCTCCTCGTGAGCGTCCGTTTGTTTCGACGTACCCGACGTGGTCGAGATTCGTCGAGTCAATAAATCATTCTCAGATCTCTTTCTCGACTCAAACACACTCTGGCGACATACTTTCGGCTCGAAATCGTGCCGGACGCCATGATAATGAACTTTCGCTCTGTGTCTTTCTGTGCATGGAGGCAGTGTTTTTCAGCTTGATCAAGTTATTTTGCGTCGCAATTGACCGCATCAGCGAGAGTAGTCTGGTATGTAACAGAGCATCATCGGCTGGTGCTCTATTTTTTCGCATTGCATACATATTAGTCCTGTGCAAAGTGTGGATTGAGTTCAAAGCGAATAGTGGTTTTAGCCGAATATTTTCTATTCGAATATCGAATAGTTTTTTCACGCCTTTCACTACCATTGCATCATGCTTAGACAAAAACCCAGCTAAACTCTTGAATGCTGTTCCACTTGTTCATTTATAAACTAAGATTAATCAATATATATTTATGAACTGTAGCCTCAGAAGCTCTGATGTCCTGGAATGGCAAATAAACAACTGATTTGACATAAAATGAAGTGAAATGAATGAACTTTAATACACCATTCACAGTTTCCATTTATCTTCCGATACAGCCGGAACGCGTGCACCATCCCGCTTTGAATGTATGCTTTTCTTCCAAGCACGCAATTGCAATCAGCTGGCACCACCCAAGAATATGATCCACTAGCTCAGCTCTAACAAGTAGTAGTGTTTATCGCGGCGGGTTAACCCCATTGAGTGCTCTTATTACCAAGCACCGATGTAATGCAGAAAAGGAACACTTCCAGAGCTCGCTTCTGCAAGATCTCGACTCTCTTAAACCAGCTTCCAGAGCCCTTTCTTTTACTCGGTGATTTTAACGCACATAGTACCCTCTGGGGAAGTGATCATACAGATACACGTGGAAAGATAATCGAATCCATATTATTTTCACAGTCATTATGCATTTTTAATACTGGCCATCCTACATATTTTAGCCCTCCATCCTTGTCATCTACGTGCATCGATCTTTCTATTGGTCTTTCTTTCCATATTCTCACTGCAGCGTCACTCTCAATCCCTCGGTCATCTGGACAGCTCCCTAGACAACCGAAGCCATGGTGGGATGAAGACTGTAAAGAGGGTCGCAAACAGCAAAACAACGCTTGGAGTGTTCTAAGACGTTATCCAACTCGGGATAACCTGATATCTTTCCGAAAAATGAAAGCCCGTGCTAGGTACATTCGTCGGAAAGCGAAACGCGAGAGCTGACAAAAATATGCGTCCTCTATCAATAGTAGTACTTCTTCCAAGGAAGTATGGGACAGGATTCATAAAGTAAATGGCTCATATCATGCCACTTCTTTCCACGAATGGAAAATGTCCAAGCAATCTTGAAGAGCAGGGCAACATCCTTGGCAAGCATTTTGAATTTATTTCCAGCTTGCAGCATTACTCGCCTGCTTTTCTGCAACATAAAAGGAAAGCTGAAAGTATGGCACTGAAAATATCCGGTGGTGAACGCGAAGCTTATAATGCCCCCTTTACCTTACGCGAACTGAACATAGTGCTCCAAAACTCTAAGTCATCGGCTCCTGGTCCAGATGGTATTCATTATTATATGCTTCAACGTCTCCATCCTTCCACACTTAATATTGTTTTATACCTTTTTAATCGTATTTGGTTTGAGGGCTACTTTCCATTGGACTGGAGAATGGCAACAATCATACCCATACTCAAGCGCGGTAAGGATCCATCCTGTGCGGCTAGTTATAGGCCTATCACTTTGACTAGCTGCTTTGGAAAGACTCTTGAACGAATAATTAATAGAAGATTGATGTATTTCCTTGTATCGTTCGTCTCGGTCCACTCTTGACCATTTAGTACGGCTGGAGACAGTCGTAGGTGAGGCCTTCTTTCATCGACAACATTGCCTATCTGTATTTTTCGACCTCAAAAAAGCCTACGATACAGCCTGGCGTTTTGGTACACTGAGGGACTTGTATGATATGGGTATCCGTGGTCGAATGCTTCGTACCATTGAGAGCTACCTCAGCGGGCGCACCTTTCGTGTTCAGATAGGAACAGCTTTATCTAGAGTGTTTGTCCAGGAAAATGGCGTTCCTCAGGGAGGCGTTCTTAGTGTCACTTTGTTTATTGTCAAAATGAACTCCCTCGCATTGGCTATTCCCCCATCGGTGCAATATTCACTCTATGTAGACGACCTTCAGATCTCTGTGTCGTCTTGCAATCTGTCACTGTGTGAGCGACGAATTCAGCTGACCATCAATAAGCTATCAATCTGGGCCAATCAAAATGGGTTTAAGTTTTCCTCAGATAAAACAGTTTGTGTGTGCTTTTCTCGGAAATGCGGACTACTTCCAGAACCTGTTCTTGCACTAAACAATGCCACAGTTTCTGTGAAGCCTGAGCACGAGTTTCTGGGTCTTACATTTGACAGCAAACTAACCTTTGGTGCTCATATTAAGCATCTAAGATTAAAAGCTCACAAATCACTTGCATTCTTAAAGTCCTGTCCCACCGATCCTGGGGTTCTGACCGGACGTGCCTTTTGAGGATATATCGCTCAATAGTGCGATCACGACTGGACTATGGCAGTATTGTTTATGGTTCAGCTAGGCCTTCCAGTCTAAAAATGCTCGACCCTATCCATCATCTTGGGTTGCGATTGGCGACGAGTGCCTTTCGCACGTCTCCTGTGCCAAGTCTGTATGCAGAGCCCAACGAGCTGTCTCTTGAGAAGAGAAGATTTTCAGTGGGCTTTATGTATTCCCTGAGAGCCAGGTCCATCTCTGATCACCCTGCGCGAATGGCTGTGGAAGACATGCGCTCTGAAAGGGTGTTTCAAAACAAAGCCACAATTGTGCCTCCCTTCTTTGAGATTGAAAAGTGCCAGTGAGAACATGGGACTCGATTGGAGGCCCCCGGTAGTGCAGTCTACTGTTGCGGAGCACCTTGGGAGCACCCTGTCATTAAGTGTGACCTTTCACTCACGAGGTACAAGAAACCTGATACTCCTAATGGTGTGTTTCCTCAGGAATTTTTTGCACTGCAAAGTCAGTATTCCGAATATGTAAGCTTCTACACAGATGGTACAAAGACGGAATCTGCTGCTGGGTGTTCCATGATTGGCCCAACAGTTCAACTTGTTAGGCGAATCAACTCCTCTGCTTCCATTTTTACAGCAGAGCTCTATGGTCTGCTTCTTGATAAAAAGCTCTCGCTCCATCGTATACACCGACCCCCTCAGTGCATTGCATGCACTGTCTTCACTAACACCCCTCAAGCACTTCCTGCTCCTTGAACTGCGAAATAAGGTTGTTGCTGCCTCAAGACAAGGATACGAAATTGTATTTTGCTGGATTCCCAGCCACGTGGGCATTCCGGGCAATGAGGCAGCAGATCGCGCAGCAAGTACTTGTGTAAAACGAACAGTTGACCTCCACAGCATTCCTTATGCAGACTACAAAGGCCTTCTCAGGCATCACGTTAAGTGCAAATGGCAAGCTGAATGGGACCAAGAAACCGGCAACAAGTTGCACATGATCAAACCTCATTCGAGCGAATGGCAGAGTGCACGCCACCAGGAACGCTTTTTTGAGGTTGTCCTTTGCCGGCTCGGGATTGGGCACACTCATCTGACTCATGGCTACCTCCTTTGTGGGGAAGATGCCCCCACTTGTGAGCAGTGTGACATTGCCTTAAGCATTCTTCATATTCTAGTTGAATGTCCTGCTTATCATGAAGAACGGCTTTTGTATTTTTCGCAACTGTATCAAGAACAAGTCCCACTACACCCAGCTCTGCTCTTAAGTGATGATTCTCTTGTGACAGATACCAATGTTTTCAAATTTTTAGATAGTATCGGCCTTCTACACCGATTTTAGCTTTCTTAACCTACAGATCATGCCCATCACCCTTTTACCTTTTGGTACCCCATCACCATCTTTTATCTAATCACTGGCTACTAAAGCCTCTTTTTTCTCTCGAAACCTTTTCCAGCAATAGTCTCTTTTTGGACGCTCTATGGCCTTAGTAGCTTTTGCGCCATAAACACCAAATCAACCAACCAACCAACCAACCAGAGCTCGTTTCCGCAAGCATTGCTTCTCCGCAGTGCACCAGTGCTTGGTAAAAAGCGCGCTCAACGGGCTCACCCGTAGCAATCAACACTTCGAAAAACGCGATTAGTGCAGTTCTTCTCAAAGCAAATATTGAATAGTGTATTATTCGAAACTACCATTCGAAATTTCGAATATCCGCACAGCATGCATTTATTCAAACTTAAGACGAGCCAGCGATCGAGCAATCGAACCGTCGATGGCCAAGATGGCCGTATAGATGCCACCAGGGTGACTCCGAAAGCAAAAAAGCGGAGTAGGCATTGCTTTCTCTGCCCCTAAATAAGCACCCCATTCGTACATACCGACTTCCGTCGTGGACAGCCGCTCGCCATGCTTGTGTATTTCACTGGCGCCAAAAACTATGCCAATAACCATGGGCGTACCAACCAGGAAAGGGGGGGGGGCGAGGGGTGCGCTTGCCCCCCCAGTTGAGTGGGGGGGCGAGGTATGTGCTTTGCCCCCCCCCCCCATGAAACAGCCGCCACTGGGCAGGGCGAACAATGACTGGCGGCGCCCAAGGGATACCAAGGGCACCGCCCCCCGGCCCTGGGGGGAGGGGGGTTCTGGTTTGCACCCCGCCTCACTCAAAAACAAGTTTGTATGCCGCTGCCAATAACTAACCATCTGCATCCAAACCAATGGAGAGAATGGTGGACACTGTTTGTCAACATGGTGGAATGCGACTTACTGGAAGTGAAAAAGCCTTTTGTGGAACTGCCCTTTATAAAGTGTTTTAGAAGGTCCGATCCACCCACTGGTGCATAACGATTGACCGATCAGTGCTTAGTATGTGGATTATTGTTTAGGGGACCTGTAGGTTTTTGCTGTGCTCTATTGTATCGACGCAATGCTGAAACTGGGAAGGACTCCTCGGCCGTCAATCGAGAGTCTGACACAAGCTCATTCGCAGATTTTGAAAAGTCTGGGTTC